GGCTTTCTCTTTCTCCTTCACCTCGCCAACATACACCTGACCGTCAATTTCCCTGTGAGGCACGAAGATGGAGAATGACATCAGGAAACTAAAGGAAACTGGTCAAACTCTAACTGTATCATTAAGAAAAATTTACTTGGAAACAGAGCAGGTAACATGCTGTCATACACGGTAGGTTGGTCACAATACAAGTAGGAACAGAGTAAACTCTGAGTGGAGACACACTGACATGTCTGAAAGTTTGGTGATGAAGGCGGGTCCTTGGGCAGGCTCCATTCGAAAAGATTTCCTGGGAGGTGTTTGCTTTGTTCAGAGCCATTAGGAGGTCCAGACGGTTGTAGCGAAAGAGAACGTCACAGTGCAGCCCACTGTCACACTGTACATGTCCACCGTCTGAAAGGATGGACCGAGAGAGAGAGAGAGAGAGAAAAATTTGGCATGCTTGTTGAGTAAAATGTTTTCTTTACAGCAAAAAAAAAAAAAAAGGCTGAGAGGACTGGCAGCTCTCTACTGAATTCTGGATCAGATGTCACGAGGAATGTCCCAAAATGATTCATGTCAAAAACAGAGAGAGGTCACTATGTGAACACAACCTAAGATAAAACTTTTAGGGGTTGTCATACTGACAAACACAGAAAGGAATAAAACACAGATGGATAAATCACTTCCAGTTTCCCCTTCCTGTTTATTGTCTCCAGTAAAGTGAAGAGAAAATAAATGCATGCCTGTGGACGCCAGGGAGGGAAAATGGAATAGTGTTTTATGTTCTGGGCTACTGTAGAAACATGGTGGTTCAACTCCATGGAACACGACCCATGGTATCTGTAGAATCTTCTAAGCTAATAAAAACACAATGATTCCTATATTCAGGTAATTTTACACATAACTATCAATATTATATTCCATTTCTGCCAATAGATCCTCCTCAATGTTATAGAAAATGAGTTCTTCATAAAAACAATAGCACTACTGTAAGAAAGGAAGCTACCGGTCCTCTTGAGTAATGAATTATCACGTTCACATTTAACAATTAGATAGATAAATAAGATAAGAACAATAGCACCATAAGACATCCCCCAGCTTGACTCTGACCACCCTGACCGAGCCAGCTGGAGGAGGAGTTGTAGAGTCTTACTGCAGCAGGCATAAAAGATCTCCTATAGCGCTCCTTAATTAACTTACCAAGGATACATTAACATGAACGTATAAATGCCTTATTGTTAGGAAAGGTCATACCTCTATGATGATTTTAGAATTTTGTATCAATCAAAATCTTTTCCTTACATTTGCAGAGTTTGTGCTTCTTTTCTGGTGAAGAAAGAGACAAAAATATGCATTTATTTTCTGTTCTCACAAATATTTTATGCTTGTATTTTAAGATGAGTACCTTTATTGACTTGCTGCCCATGGCCTCTATGCTCTCCTGTAACAAAACATAACAGAACTGCATGGTTATTGAGAAAGAAAAGACAGAATTGGAAAGAAATGTGCACTACTAAACTCTCTGCCATCACTAAACTGCCCTGAATGTTTAGCATTAGTTACAGCCAGGCACAAAAAACAGATTGTACCAACAACTGTACACTCTGTAACTTAGTGGCCCTATTATCACAACTTAATTAAATGCATGGCTGCAAGTTAAAAATTATAATATATTGATTTAGATCGACCTTTTAAGTTGCAAAAGATATTGCAAAAGAGTTGTGTTGATATAATAATGTTGGTAATTACGTCAACTTAATATTGTGGGTTAATTGGTTCAAAACAAAAGTCAAGTTGTAATAACTTAACTTAATTTTTCTCCACCTTGAGTTCAGCATTTCAAGTCCCCTCCCCTATCCACATTAAATGCCTGGGCAAATTCAGACAGTTAAGACTCTGTGTTAGAGGACCTGTAGGCTGAGCAAATACATTATACAAAGGACATTTTTGAGGTGAGTATCATTTTATTTGTAAATAAATTCTTCCACGAATTTGGGCATATTCTCAATTGTGATTTAACCAGCAGTGGATAAGAATGATAAAGTTTTATTTGGCAAATCGGGTCAGCTTGAGAGAGCTTTTTATTTGAGCCATGGAGAGGAATAGCATGATACTTCTTATGTGTTTAGCTGTATTTATTAAACTGGATAAAATGTAATGCTTTAGCAGGGTACTTGACTGGCCCATCTTATTGCCTGGTCTTTGGTTCCAAGTTGCCCCTATGGAGAGCGACTCACATAGGTTGAGGAGTTGTTCCTCTTTAACTAATGTGTTGAAGGAGGAGGAGGAGTTTAGAGTAAGTAATTCAAGTCATTCTCTGATAGATAAATGACAATTGCCACGAATTGGGCAGTGGATATATTACATTCAGGGCAGATAACCTGCTACCGTCTGTCCATTTTTCAATATGTTTTGAAGTATTGGACAATTTAAGGCACCTATTCTTGTGTCTCAGCCCGGCTAGTCTGTTGTATTGTCAATAAGCATAAATGGTGCGGGTTC